ACGGGAAACTTTTAATTAAGCAACATTTCAACGAATTTCATTGTGGACCTGACATGGGTCTAAATAAAACAATACAATATTTTTTGGCATGAGAATTTGAGGCAAAATATATAACTACTCAACAATTTTAAATGCATTTCCTTGTGGAAAAAAAACTCACTAAAAAGCTCAATAGAGAAACGTAGAGCTTGATTTAAACTTTCTCAAAGGGCGCCGAGATTAACTTATCCGTCCTTTTTGTACAACTTACGTTTCCGGAATGCTTAAAAACCGTTTTTAAAGAAATGCCATCGTGTGTCTTGTGCCACTTAATGCATTCAAACGTCTAACTATATGTGGAGGTTGAAGGATTGATAAATCGTTTTATTTTTAAATCCGGTTTTTGAGAAAACGTTCTCGATGAACTTGAATCAATTTGAGAATAAATATCTGATCTCAAATTAAAAGACACTTACCTAAGTGAAAAAGGTACTAGACAGTTGACAATATTGAAAAGGTCAAATTTGCTTTCGAGAATTAAAATCTCTTTTGTGTGTTTTTCTCTAAAGCTCATCCGACATGGATACCGCGGGCAAAAGAGAGATGATTAATGGGAGTTTCTGGTGAGGCCCCCCATTGTTTTAACAGTAATTTATATTGTCGCTTATAAAACGAATAAAAAATTAGTCGGGAAAAAATAAACCGCTTTGGCTTTGAACGAAAAATTATCCCTAGAAAAAAAAGGAACAATTCTTTTGACATTGTATTTTTCTACGAAACACCTCTCGGCTCTATCCTCTGGCATTTATTACTTTAAGTCACGCCAACTTCCAGGCTGGCCCATAAAACTTTATCGAGAAAATAAAAGAGAAATAGAGCTTGCTACAAATAGAGTTCGTCGTCAAAGAAGAGCAACTCTATAGCTTAATAATTATACGTGCTTTAAAATTGTAGTTTTATTTTTGAGACTCCACATTTCCCAATTCAAAAGTCCGGTGAAATCCAGATAGAGCACGTATTCGTTGAGCGTCAAAATATCATTTTTCATATAGAGCTAGAGTAGTGGTCAAACTACGATTTTCAATTTTGTTACGTTAGCCGACGCGGTTCGCGAATTATTGCCGAGATTAAAAATGGGGATTTTCACCATTTTTTTGATTTAAAAATAGAGCCGAACGTGCGGCTGTGTTTTATTAACCCAAGCCGGAGTGATTTAATGGGGTTTTAACTTATCTGAAAGTTAGGATTTGTTGCAATGTTTGATGAACTTTGAATATGATAAGTTGGAATCTCTTGTTTCTCTAATCTTAAGAGCCTTTGGGCTCGGAATCTCAAATAACCTTCTTTATAGCCCTTCTCAAGAGCTACAACTGAGCAAAAGATTCATGTCAATAGCTTCACTGGTTTTCAAAATATGGCCCTTTGAAATATTTGAAAATCAAATTTCTATGCCATACATACCCTTGGAAAAGTTCGAATTTTAAAATTTTTGGATTTTGCAATTTTTGACTTTCCCAATCGAAAGAGGAGGTGAAAAATTAGTGGAAAAGCATTAACGCAACTTTGTTTTTTGAGTTTTAGGACTTGTGAAAAAATAAAAACCGTTTTTCCACATTTTGGGCCCAGAAAATTTCAATAATCTGATATTGTCTCATAAAATCGCTCATTACTCTGTTATTATTGCAACAAATATAACGTAAATTTATATATTCTGAATCAGAATTAAATTATCTTCAAGATAAAATAAGATTCAATTCCTTATCTCAAATACTTTTGAAGATATTGAGGCTCAAAGTCAAAACTTTGTTTCAAATTTCACAAAAAATTCAAAGCTGATTTTCTCGAAAACGAAGCCATTGTGCTCGGAGTCTCAAATAACCTTTTTTATAGCCCTTCTCAAGAGCTACAATTGAGCAAAAGATTCATGCCAATAGCTTCACTGGTTTCCAAAATATGGCCCTTTGAAATATTTGAAAATCAAATTTCCATGCATACCCCTTTGGAAAAATTCGAATTTTTAAATTTTTGGATTTTGCAATTTTTGACTTTCCCAATCGAAAGAGGAGGTGAAAATTAGTGGAAAAGCATTTACGCAACTTTGTTTTTTGAGTTTTAGGACTTGTGAAAAAATAAAAACCGTTTTTTCCACATTTTGGGCCCAGAAAATTTCAATAATCTGATATTGTCTCATAAAATCGCTCATTACTCTGTTATTATTGCAACAAATATAACGTAAATTTATATATTCTGAATCAGAATTAAATTATCTTCAAGATAAAATAACATTCAATTCCTTATCTCAAATACTTTTGAAGATATTGAGGCTCAAAGTCAAAACTTTGTTTCAAATTTCACAAAAAATTCAAAGCTGATTTTCTCGAAAACGAAGCCATTGTGATCGGAGTCTCAAATAACCTTTTTTATAGCCCTTCTCAAGAGCTACAACTGAGCAAAAGATTCATGCCAATAGCTTCACTGGTTTCCAAAATATGGCCCTTTGAAATATTTGAAAATCAAATTTCCATGCATAACCCTTTGGAAAAATTCGAATTTTTAAATTTTTGGATTTTGCAATTTTTGACTTTCCCAATCGAAAGAGGAGGTGAAAATTAATGGAAAAGCATTTACGCAACTTTGTTTTTTGGGTTTTAGGGCTTGTGAAAAAATAAAAACCGTTTTTCCACATTTTGGGCCCAGAAAATTTCAATAATCTGATATTGTCTCATAAAATCGCTCATTACTCTGTTATTATTGCAACAAATATAACGTAAATTTATATATTCTGAATCAGAATTAAATTATCTTCAAGATAAAATAAGATTCAATTCTTTATCTCAAATACTTTTGAAGATATTGAGGCTCAAAGTCAAAACTTTGTTTCAAATTTCACAAAAAATTCAAAGCTGATTTTCTCGAAAACGAAGCCATTGTGCTCGGAGTCTCAAATAACCTTTTTTATAGCCCTTCTCAAGAGCTACAATTGAGCAAAAGATTAATGCCAATAGCTTCACTGGATTCCAAAATATGGCCCTTTGAAATATTTGAAAATCAAATTTCCATGCATACCCCTTTGGAAAAATTCGAATTTTAAAATTTTTGGATTTTGCAATTTTTGACTTTCCCAATCGAAAGAGGAGGTGAAAATTAGTGGAAGAGCATTTACGCAACTTTGTTTTTTGGGTTTTAGGGCTTGGGAAAAAATAAAAACCGTTTTTCCACATTTTGGGCTCAGAAAATTTCAATAATCTGATATTGTCTCACAAAATCGCTCATTACTCTGTTATTATTGCAACAAATATAATGTAAAATTACATATTCTGAATCAGAATTAAATTATCTTCAAGATAAAATAAGATTCAATTCTTTATCTCAAATACTTTTGAAGATATTGAGGCTCAAAGTCAAAACTTTGTTTCAAATTTCACAAAAAATTCAAAGCTGATTTTCTCGAAAACGACGCGATTGTGCTCGGAGTCTCAAATAACCTTTTTTATAGCCCTTCTCAAGAGCTACAATTGAGCAAAAGATTCATGCCAATAGCTTCACTGGTTTCCAAAATATGGCCCTTTGAAATATTTGAAAATCAAATTTCCATGCATACCCCTTTGGAAAAATTCGAATTTTTAAATTTTTGGATTTTGCAATTTTTGACTTTACCAATCGAAAGAGGAGGTGAAAATTAGTGGAATAGCATTTACGCAACTTTAATTTTTGGGTTTTAGGGCTTGTGAAAAAATAAAAACCGTTTCTCCACATTTTGGGCCCAGAAAATTTCAATAATCTGATATTGTCTCACAAAATCGCTCATTATCTGTTATTATTGCAACAAATATAATGTAAAATTATATATTCTGAATCAGAATTAAATTATCTTCAAGATAAAATAAGATTCAATTCTTTATCTCAAATACTTTTGAAGATATTGAGGCTCAAAGTCAAAACTTTGTTTCAAATTTCACAAAAAATTCAAAGCTGATTTTCTCGAAAACGAAGCCATTGTGCTCGGAGTCTCAAATAATCTTTTTTATAGCCCTTCTCAAGAGCTACAACTGAGCAAAAGATTCATGTCAATAGCTTCACTGGTTTTCAAAATATGGCCCTTTGAAATATTTGAAAATCAAATTTCCATGCATACCCCTTTGGAAAAATTCGAATTTTAAAATTTTTGGATTTTGCAATTTTTGACTTTACCAATCGAAAAAGGAAGTGAAAATTAGTGGAAAAGCATTTACGCAACTTTGTTTTTTGGGTTTTAGGGCTTGTGAAAAAATAAAAACCGTTTTTTCCACATTTTGGGCCCAGAAAATTTCAATAATCTGATATTGTCTCATAAAATCGCTCATTACTCTGTTATTATTGCAACAAATATAACGTAAATTTATATATTCTGAATCAGAATTAAATTATCTTCAAGATAAAATAAGATTCAATTCTTTATCTCAAATACTTTTGAAGATATTGAGGCTCAAAGTTAAAACTTTGTTGCAAATTTCACAAAAAATTCAAAGCTGATTTTCTCGAAAACGAAGCCATTGTGCTCAGAGTCTCAAATAACCTTTTTTATAGCCCTTCTCAAGAGCTACAATTGAGCAAAAGATTCATGCCAATAGCTTCACTGGTTTCCAAAATATGGCCCTTTGAAATATTTGAAAATCAAATTTCCATGCATACCCCTTTGGAAAAATTCGAATTTTAAAATTTTCGGATTTTGCAATTTTTGACTTTACCAATCGAAAGAGGAAGTGAAAATTAGTGGAAAAGCATTTACGCAACTTTGTTTTTTGGGTTTTAGGGCTTGTAAAAAAATAAAAACCGTTTTTCCACATTTTGGGCCCAGAAAATTTCAATAATCTGATATTGTCTCACAAAATTAAGTCAGGGTGGGAAAGCCAGTCAAAATTTCCTTCTGTCCACTTGTTTTAATAGGTACACCTATTTCTCACTTTACTTAAGTAGCTATGCTTTCGCTTATAATACACAGACAACAATTTGAACTCACAGAATTCATTTACCATTTCCAGAAGGTCGTACTTTGGAACTCCACTCACCTGATGCGGTGCACAGTTGCGTGCTCAGAGCTTCAGATCCAGGCGAAGCAGTCGCTTGGTTCAACACTTTACATTCGGCTCTGGCTTTACTCACCACTGCGGCTCTACACGAAGCCGCCAGAGCCATACCCGACCTGCGACACATCGGATGGTTACTCAGAAAACCAAAACTTGAAGTAAGATTATTATTATAACTGTAATCAATTTAATTTTAGGTTTGTATTTTTTCTAGAATAATATGTCTAGCTCAGAAAGCTCAGAAGACATGGAAAAATGGCAATCGATTTTCGCTGCAGTAACAGACTCAGAATTGAGGTTCTACGAAAGTGCTCCTTGGTCGGGGGAGGCTTGGAGGGCACCTGCCGAAGCTTATTCGTTGATTGCTACAAGATTGGTAGGCTCTGGCAAGAGGGACGATTTTCCTGAATTCAGTATTAGGTGAGACATTAAAAAACCAACCCTCGACTATAATTGAAGTTTTATTTTAGATGTGCAACAGTAGATGGGGTGATGACGCACAGTTTAAGGGCAGAAACGCATCGAGATTTGGCAATGTGGGCAAAATCTTTAGTAAACGGAAGCCATGCCAGTGCAGTAACTCAAAAAGAACTTGTTTGTCGTAAGTTTTAGCTTATAGATAAATAAAAATCTACAAAAAAAAAAGTTGCGTTATTAGTAAAGTTTTCAGCCGGGGGGCTTTTATAGCCTTCGGTAAACTTTGCTGAAGTATCGGCAAAGTTTCTGGCTGCTGCAGCTGTAATGCGCGAAATTAATTTCGGCAATGTCTTATCGTTTTGTTCCGTGCGGATAATTTGTGAGTTTTGGAGACAAAAGCCCATTATATTGTCTTATTTTATAGGTTGTCTTTGGAAAGGCCGTCCAGCTCAATTAGTGATCCACTACGAAAACGGTTTTACTCTTTTGGAAGCCGGCACTGGTTCCAGAACGCTTTGGAGGTACTCGTTTGACAGACTCAGAAATTCTTCTGATGATGGGAAAAGGTTTCTTTGGCTCGATTTTGGTTCTACTGGATCTACGGAAGAAGCCGAAGTGGTAATTAGATATTTGCAGAAATCTTAGAGATTTTTATTGATAATTTTTCTTTGTAGGAATTGGACATTGAAGGTTGTCCTAAGCCCATAGTGTTCATCCTGCACAATTTTCTATCTGCCAAAATTCATCGATTGGGACTGACTGCGTAGACTTTTTCGAACTTAAAATTTAGATAGTGTATACATTTATTTCCTATGCTATTTAATATTCTTATTAAATTTTGTCAATTATTAATAAGGTTTTATCGAAAATTAAGTTCTTATCGAATAGCATTATAATTATTTCACAGGGTGTTCTAGTATTTTTACTTTTGTTGAACATTTAAAACCTAAAAATATATTTGGATGTTTTGGGTTGTTGTTAGAATGGCCCAGCAATGAATGTTCACAAATTCTATTTAAAAAAAAATCTCAATATCAATACAAGTTTCAGGTCTGGCAACCGATGCGTCCCTTTGGGTTCAGATAGTATATGGGTAGACGAGTCCAAAAAGCCCGGGACACAAATGTTTTTGATCCTATAGCGGCTTTGATGACGAAAAAACTACGAAAAGAGGTTATGTGGAGAAAGAAAAGATTTCACCACTAGTAGTTAATACATCTATTGTTACACCTTAATTTTTGTAGGAGATTATTGAATAGGGTTTACCAAAAATAGATCGCAGTAAATGTTTTTCTCTGGTGAGCCATGATTTAACATTCTCTTGAAATGTCTATTTTTAGGGAAAGCTCTAAGCTAGTACCCAAACAGCCCTATGAGGAGCGTTGAGTAGGGCTTCTACAGCATGACATTTACCTTAGGATTTCAGTCGTACTGTAGCAAGTCACACCCAACTTGGAGAGAAAGTCTTTAGGCCTGTACCCTCGAGAAGCTTAAGGCTGTGGAGACTAACCTCTGCCTGACTGAATTATTAGAATTACTGCTACCGTCAACAGAAACTCGAGTTATATAGGGAAATGTCCCAGAAATTAGGCGGCAATAATGATTACGTCATCAACGAAAAATTTGTGTCTCTGGCTTTTTAAACTCGTTTATCCATGTAGGTACTAATCTGAACCCAAAGGGGCGCATTGGTTGCCAGACGTGAAATATTCTAGTATAATTTTCATCCCACTAATAATAGAATCACCCTGTACAAGTTCATATCTTCGATTTTTTTTATTCAACTTTCTAAACCAGAAAATGGAGTGCCTTTTTAGAGTGAAAAAAAGGTCCCTCAAAAAGTAAAACGGTACAAAAATAGACCTGATTTTTCGGTTTTTTTACAACAAAATAGAACAATAATACAATTTTTTAATGCGCACTTTTCTATTAATTTTCCATTTTAATCTGGGTTTAGTGTTAGTTTTTCTACTTCCGTAATTTGTAAATTGTAATGACAAAAATGGTAGACAATATGTAAATTAAAACCATAAAGGAATAACGACGCTAATAATAATGTAAATAATTGAAAATCAAAAATCAATTTGTATAGATAAGTATAATAAAATGTCAATAATAAGTTTGTATTTTTAACAAAAAGGTTGTAATCCTAGCCAAGTGATTTTTGTGTTTTTTAGGTAAAATTATTGTAATTTAATTGTAGTAATAAACAAATAATCAATAAATTGCAAGTGTTTCCATTAGTAAATACAATTATTGGTAATTGTTTGCCATAAACGACATGTAAGAATAGGCAACTTTCACTGTCTACAACAAAATTTCCAAATTACTACTGAATCATTTTAGCATAACATGCAATACTAACCATTAGGGCTGAATTTGTACTCATTTGAAAAAACGGCCCTGCAGTAAGCCCTATAGGAATTTGAGCTCTCATCATGATAACCAACAAAAGACTTTTAACTTGTTTAGTTTGTTCCTCCCATTTACTTGCAGCCACAGCATCTGCAATGCTTAAACCCTGAAAAAATGCCCTTTAACACTTAATTTTTAAGCCTTTTATACCAACCGCAATGCTTATTTCGTTAGCACTCCAAGCTAAAACGAATATTTGGACCAAAACTAAAACGACTATGCTTAGTACGGATAATAAGCTTGAAGCTGAATTCGCCTGGAATTTTAAGCAATAATTTGAGGCTGTAAGGCTTAATTTTACTCACCAAAACCAACTGAATAGTTCCTGATGCCAAACTAACTGAATTTAGTACGAATTCTAGTAGCATTACATGATTGGTCCTTTGGTTTAAAGATTTGACGAATCTAAAAGGGATTTTGAGGTTTATTCATTTCAAATCAAAAACCAGTTGAGTATGATTTTCTTAATATCCGCAGCCAATTCCTGAGCCTTCAAAGTTACTTCCAGGTGTTCAAATAGAGTTTCTGAGCATTCAAAATCAGAGTTTTCTGAATCTAGTTGCTCCAAATGAGTTCATAATAATATTCAAAGTTTTTGGATAATTTCTGAACATACAAAGCTACTCTATAAAGTGTTCAAAATTATTTGTTAAGTAATAATCTAAAATTATTAAAGTTTCTAAATTCAATTTGAATTAAAATCTACAGACTAATAAGTTGAAATATGAGCCTCAAAATCTGGAAAGTTTGAGGTAGACAAAACTACAGAAACATTGAGATATTATTCTCGGCTCTCCTAGAGCAAGAAACTCCATTAAATATGCTACTTGAACAAGGAAGATTTGAAATGGACTCCAATTCAACTTTAGGTCTAGAATCTAGAGATCTAGACGTCTTTTTTAGGTATGCATTACGTTTGAACGTCTGAAGACCAAAAAAAAAAGACGTCTAGAGGACGTCGTAAATTCAAATTTTAAAGATAACTATTCGATGCAACCAGACAAAGTGAATAATGGATTATGTATTGAAAAGGTCAAAGGGATTCAAAGACGTCTTTAAGACATCTCGTTGAAGACGTCTTTAGAATGTCTTAGCAAAGGCGTCTTTAGGCAGACGTTGGCTATTGTAAAATACGACAACTTCAAGATGTCTTTAAGATGCCTTAAAGACGTAAGCAGGACGTCTTTAAGATGTCTACAAAATTCGTTTCTCATTCAATTTAGAAGTTACTGGAAACCATTTAGAATGTTATAGACCATTTTAGAACTTTGATAAGGCCTTTGAAAAGTTCAAAATACTTAAACTTCAATTCAGAATTTCCAAAAGCATTCTGACAATTTGGAAACTTCAGAACCATTTTAGAATACTCCAAAATATTCAAAAACCAATTTACAATTATCAAAAGCAATTCAGAACAGAATCAGAAGAATCTCTGGCGTTCAATTGGCCAATTCAAATTTTTCAGGAGTATTTTGGAAGAATTTAGAAACTTCAGAATCATTCCAGAACAACTAGGATTCAATTTAGAACTGGGAAACCTTTTAGAACGCTTTTCAACCAATTTAGAACACTTTGGAGCTTCAATAAGGATCTAAAATACTTAAAAACCTGTCAGAACAATTTAGATTTTATTGAAAAACTTCTAAAATACTCCAGAACTTTTCCAGCCAAGTTGGAACACTTCAGAACTTCAAAGGGCCATTTATAATGATTCAAAATATTTTCGAGCATCATTTTGAAAGGCTTCAGAACAATTCACAAACCCCAGATTATTCCAGAAAGCCTAATCCCTGGAATAAACAAAAATTGACAGATATAAAATAAGTAATAATAAGGAAAGATTAATACAAAATGAATCTAGAAACTTTCTTTGAAAAATTTTAGATCAATACTTTTTAACAACTTCTGAAGTAGGTAACTCTGAACACTTTGGAGTAGCTTTGTATGTTCAAAAACTATATCCAAAAACTTTGAATATCACTCTGATCTCTTTGGAGCAACTAGATGCAGAAGCTTTGAATACTTATTTTTCTGATTATTTTTGAATGCTCAGAAACTCTTGTAGAGCTGAATTCTCAGAATTTGAATATTATATTTACTCAATCAACTTCTGATGTTCAACCACCAACTCTTTAACCGTCCTCAAAACATCCCCATCATTCATCTCCTTCGCAATCCAATCGAACTTCCTCAATCTGATCCCTAAAATCTCCAATCTAGCTGTGGCGTAGATCATCAAACCAATAAACGTTGTTTGAGTTGCCGTATTGAAAAACAACCCTTGAGTTACCGCAAACAAGTTCAAACCGACAACCCAAATCATGTTTTTTTCGCGTTTGAACGGATACCATATGTCGTGCATAAACGGTTGGTCTTTGAACTCAGACATGTCTTCTGAGGCTATGACTTGGAGGAGGGAAACTAAAGTAAAAAAGGTGCAAGATGTGAGAGTGACGAGGAATTGACAAAGATTCACTTTTCTGCAATAAGAGATTTGTTTGTTGTAGCATGTTTTTACTTCGGGGTCGTTTGAGTTATTTAGGTTGTATTCGTTTTGGAGGATGTGCAAGAACATGTTTGGGATTTTTTTGACCTAAAATAATAATAAGTTTTAATTAGGGTTGTTTTAAATAAAATTTCTTACTTGAAATAATACAAGTTTGATACAAGTTTCACCAACAATTATAAGGATGTTAATGCTTCCAATTAATCTGGTTGGTTGATTGTGCTCTACAATTAAAACAATTAAATTGATTAATAATGATACGATGAATAAAATGTAGGCGTAAGTTTGGCATTTGGAGTAGATTTTGTAAAGTTTTTCAAGCGATTTGTTTTCGGTTATTTTAAAGGGCCAAAATCCGCTGAGGATTAAAAAGTACTTTGGGATTAGAATGAATTTGTCGCCGTACATTTTGATTCTAAGTGAGGGAGTTTGAAGAATATAGAGACATTTATATGTATATGGGGCTAAATTGTATAGTAAAAGCATGTCATTATAAAGAAAAAAATGTATAATTAGGGTTTGAATAAATAATAAGTTGTGATTTACATTGGAAAAAAAGAACAAGAATTAATTTTTCTTTTTTTCTAAGACGCAATTTTAAGGATTTGATTTCTTGCCTGTTGTATTTGTATTATTAATATTATATTTTTTAACCGGAGTTAGTAATGTTACTTTACTAAACTAGTAACGTAATATGTAACAAGTTATTCAAGTACAAATGAGTGAATTGTTGCGGAACTTATGGGTAGACCACTGCGGGACGAGCGCAGCGAGTTCCGCAGCCATCTACTCACCAATATGTTGTTTAATTACGACAATAACCTAACTCAAATGTGAGTTATTCTCATTAGTTTTAAAACTACACGTTTCAGGTGAATATCTTACTTGAACAGTTAAATAGTATATTGGTGAGTAGATGGCTGCGGAACTCGCTGCGCTCGTCCCGCAGAAGTCCACCCATAAATTCCGCAACAATCTACTTATTTGTACTTGAAAAATTACGTATTATAGACATTTGAATTTTGATTTCAAAATATTCAAACCAATCCAACCTTAATTGCTTGGTAACCGTTGAGCAAATTGTGATAAGTTATTCAAGTACAAACGAGTGGATTATTGCGGAACTTATGGGTGGACCTCTGCGGGACGAGCGCAGCGAGTTCCGCAGCCATCTATTTACCAATATGTTGTTTAAGTACGATACTAACCTGACTCACTCAAATGTGAGTTATTCTCATTAGTTTAAAAAGTACACCTTTCAGGTTAGTGTCTTATTTGACCAGTTCAACAGTATATTAGTAAGTAGATGGCTGCGGAACTCGCTGCGCTCGTCCCGCAGAGGTTCACCCATAAGTTCCGAAACAGTCTACTTATTTGTACTTCAACAATAACTTATTATATAAAGTCAGAATTTGTAAGATTATCCCCTTTTTTGTCAAGTTGCCTTTTAACAGGAATTAGTAATGTTACTTTACCAAACTAGTAATATATTGTGACAAGTTATTCAAGTACAAACGAGTAGATTGTTGCGGAACTTATGGGTGGATCCAGCCATCTATTCACCAATATGTTGTTCAAGTACGATACTAACCTGACTCACTCAAATGTGAGTTATTCTCATTAGTTTAAAAAGTACACCTTTCAGGTTAGTGTCTTATTTGACCAGTTCAACAATATATTAGTAAGTAGATGGCTGCGGAACTGGCTGCGCTCGTCCTGCAGAGGTTCACCCATAAGTTCCGAAACAGTCTACTTATTTGTATTTGAACAATAACTTATTATATAAAGTCAGAATTTTGTAAGATTATCCACTTTTTGTCAATTTGCCTTTTAACAGGAATTAGTAATGTTACTTTACCAAACTAGTATTATATTATGACAAGTTATTCAAGTACAAACGAGTAGATTGTTGCGGAACTTATGGATGGATCCAGCCATTTATTCACCAATATGTTGTTCAAGTACGATACTAACCTTACTCACTCAAATGTGAGTTATTCTCATCAGTTTAAAAACTACACGTTTCAGGTGAATGTCTTACTTGAACAGTTAAACAGTATATTGGTGAGTAGATGGCTGCGGAACTCGCTGCGCTCGTCCCGCAGTGGTCCACGTATAAATTCCGCAACAATCTACCTATTTGTACTTGAAAAATTACTTACGTATTATATACATTTGAATTTTGATTTCAAAATATTCAAACCAATCCAACCTTAATTGCTTGGTAACCGTTGAGCAAATTGTGATAAGTTATTCAAGTACAAACCAGTTGATTATTGCGGAACTTATGGGTGGACCTCTGCGGGACGAGCGCAGCGAGTTTCGCAGCCATCTATTCACCTAGCCATCTTTCACCAATATGTTGTTTAAGTACGATACTAACCTGACTCACTCAAATGTGAGTTATTCTCATATTAGTTTAAAAAGTACACCTTTCAGGTTAGTGTCTTATTTGACCAATTCAACAGTATATTAATTAGTAGATGGCTGCGGAACTCGCTGCGCTCGTCTCGCAGAGGTTCACCCATAAGTTCTGCAACAGTCTACTTATTTGTACTTGAACAATAACTTATTATATAAAGTCAGAATTTGTAAGATTATCCATTTTGTCAATTTGCCTTTTAACAGGAATTAGTAATGTTACTTTACCAAACTAGTATTATATTATGACAAGTTATTCAAGTACAAACGAATGGATTGTTGCGGAACTTATGGGTGGTTCCAGCCTACTATTCAATAATATGTTGTTCAAGTACAATACTAACCTAATTCACTCAGTTGTGAATTTTTCTCCTTAGTTAAAAAACTACACGTTTCAAGTGAGTGTCTTATTTGAACAGTTCAACAGTATATTGATGAGTAGATGGCTGCGGAACTCGTTGCGCTCGTCCCGCAGAGGTCCACCCATAAGTTCCGCAATAATCTACTCATTTGTACAGGGTGTTTTTTTTATATATTGACACTCCATCTGCAGCCTTTACCTTTACAGGTAGAAGAAAGGTGTAAATACAAAAACTGTACAGTTTTGGCTGAATTTTTAGAAAGCATGGTTAGAAACAAAATTTGAACGCTGTTTTAAAAGAGGTATCACTTGACCCCTTGTTCTATTTGAAATAGTAAGGGTTGGTGCCACCCTGAGTAGACGGTTAAAGTTGAAGTGTTAAAAATGGTTGCAGAAAACTTCTCCTTCCTGTTTCTTAAATGGTACACTTTGTATAGGTAGTAGTTGAACAGCAAAGAAGAAATAATACTTAATCATGGAAATTTCATTGTCCTTCACAGGTTCTTATTAAAAAAAATTCCAAAAATCCAATACATCTCTAAATTCTACTAACACTGAAATAAAACACAAAAATAATGCCTTTCTCTATTATTTTACTAAGTACCTTCCAAACAATATAATTTTGATAAATCCCTATTACATCTCTGAGTTATACAAATGATGTTTGGCTTTATAATTCCTCAGCAAAGCATAATACGAATAAGTCCATTTCAAAATCTAAAAACAATTTACAATACAGCAGTTACACAACCAATGCTACCACTTACTGAAATAAATGTGTCCAGGGACAATGTTATCAAACTGAGCCCTTTAACTTCAATAGGCCTTTTGTTTCTTTCCATTAAAATAAACAATGACCGTCTCACTCTTGGACTGCATTCGTACCAAGAGGAAAAGTAGCAAGAAGTTACAATTTCTAAACTCTAGAAATTATGTTATATATAAATCAGGTACATTTTCCAAAACATCAATTATTATTACCTCATGATAAACGAAATTCCCAAACCAACAATACAATCCTAGTTCGGCCAGCATGGAAATTGTGTAGCAGAATAAAAATATAGCTTCAGGGGATGTTGGTGATAGCTGAAATGTCTAAATGAAAATAACTAAATATTAATTATTAAACTATATTTACTGAGGTTAGTAGCATTAAAGCATTACAAACAGATACGCATCCAGTGACCATTTGAATAAAAGAAATTATGCTGAAACAATCTTGAATACATTTTGAAAATCTATAAAAACAATAGCATTAGAAACTAAACCAGTAAAGTTGTTATACCTTACTCTTCAATATCGCTGTAATGGATGCAGCACTCTTTTAAATAATCCAAAGTTAGCTTTTCCGAATTTTCCTCTGAATAATCGGGCAAACTTTTAACATTTTCCTTCATATCAATCAACTTTATATTCAACTTTCTCAACTGGGTAGCTGAAATCATTATGAAACCAACAGAAAGCAAATCCAAACAAATATTAGTATAAGCACAAATGTATGCCCCAATAACTTCAAACATGTAAAAAGGATAATGAAACATGCCTGAATTAAAATGCTCAAATTCCAACGGTAAAGGTTTATTTGATTCCCAAACTAAAAATAATTATTATTTTAAACTTAAAAAAATATACCAAATAATTATTACTAGGATATACAGCTAAACAAAACAAAGTAATGTTGCACTGAATAACAAAAGCAGCTTGGGTACCAACGCAAAGTTTCTTCAATTGCTTCAATACCAAATTATATTGGTGGTTGTAAGCAACAAAACTAGGAGTTTCAAGCATATCGATGCACCTAAAAAACTCCTCTCGCTTGTAAGTCATAATTACAAACTTCAAAAAACTATTAGAAATTGTTATGTGCATATATAGGCTTTCAGAAAGCTTGACGAAGTTGCCTACTTGAAGTGCTACTTGGTAGCTCAAGCATAAGCCCAACGAAAAAAGAATTCCCATTGAAATGATGGTACGAATTCTGTGGATATAAAAAAAATCAGAAATAGAAGAAAATCATTATTACCTACCTGTAAACTAATGAAAATTCCGTAGTAGGATAAATTGCCAAAATCGAAAGCAAAATCCTGGGAATTTTGATAAATTCAAACATGGACATGTTGGTAATGAAGTGGTTTATCGCACAGTAAGGTATTAATAATTATGGGCGTGATGAAAGGAAAATAAAAATAAAATTGGTGCAATTAGATATTGTTTTTATATTGGATAACAGCGTATTACATAATTAGAAGGAAAAAACACAATTTACGCCTTTCTGGATGAAAATAGGACAATAATTATGTATGAAAAATAAGTTCATGGTCAAGAGACAATAATTTCAATGTGGAAATTTTATTCCTGGGCTCTCATAAGTTGAAATTGAACAGGAAAATTATCAAACTCCTTTTTCTGTTCATTTGGAGCTTCTATTTTGCACCATCATAGAGCTTGAATTCAACTGAGAAGAATAGGAATTTTATTCCAGGAACAGGGACAGCTTAGGACTTTTTGAGGCCCTGGGCCTATATGTAAAATGAGATAGTTTGTGAACCACCTGAAAGACGACACAGGGAGCCATCGGGGGCCCCCGCCTAGTAATATGGAAGCAAAAAAGACAAATAGCCATAATTTTACTTATACTTTCAGAGATTCCAAACCCTACATGGTCATAGTCGAAAGCAAAAATGGGTATTGAAAAACAGTAAAGTTGGTGGAGTTGAGAAAACTTCTAGGAAAGGGAAAAACAGAGTGGAAATTGGAATTGAATTTACCGATTATATAAGTGCAAATGAATTTCTAAATAATAAAATATTAACGGATGAAAATCTACATACACGCCTATATTGCAGCGAGTCTAGTTACCTGTAAAGGTATAGCCAGAGGGATCTACAGAAGTATAATCAGAGAGGAAATACTTGAGAATACAAAATCTGTAGGAAAGATTATTGAAGCCAGAAGACTAAAGAAGAGAATAATTGGAAGCGGTGAAATCAAATATGTAAATACTGAATCAGTGGTGTTTACGTTCCAAGGGAAAGTGATTCCAAGGGCAGTTAGCCTAGATTTCTGTGATGTATCAGTTTCAGTATACATAAGCCCAGTATTGATATGCTTTAAGTGCTTAAGGTACGGTCACATGGCTAAACAGTGCCGAGGTAAACAAAGATCCCCAATATGTGCAGAGGAGCATAAAGAAAGAAAGTGTACACAAAACACTCAAACTGTTTATTGTAACATGAAGCACAAAGCTACATACAGGCAATGTAAGGAATACCTGAGACAGAATAAGCAATCAAAACCACTATGATCACAGAAAATATATCCTATTTTGAAGCTAGGAGCAAACATCCGAAAGGAGATGAAATTATAGGACAGCGACTTGGACAAAGAATAAGTAATTTAGACCATATAGAGATTTCCCAGCCCTAAATCATGAAAGAAGAGCTTCGGAAGCCAATACACCAATTGAAGTAAACCAGAGACATCTATACATATTGAGAACCAACACACATCGGCATGCAATCTTAAAAGGAAAATGTCCAGTTCACCAGGTGGCCGATCCTCGGGCCAGGGAGTAGAGCTTCCCGATAGAACGAATGTTTTGTCCTTGTCAACGTAATCGAAAAGTAAACGAAAATGATAAAGACGAAAATTTTGTTCTCTCGGGAAGTTTCACTCCCTGACTCGAGGATCGGCGCGCAGGGTAGAACAGAGATGCGCACAAAAAAGGTCTGATTCTTGCATCAGCTAGAACTCCAACCCAAATAAGTACAAGGGAAGATTCGGTGGCAGGAAGTGCATATTCCATACAGCCAACACCAATATTAGATGTCATTGAAAAGACAACCTTGTCTCAAGATGTGAAGGACTTTATTATGGGGGTAATCCACAATGCAACCCAGATATTTGGGGAATCCAATCAGGAAACAGACAGCCAATACCTACAGAAAAATGTACACGCTATTAGAGATTTACAGTTTGAAGAAACGCAATATGAAAATAGTACAATGGAACATTAGAAGCATTCTAAGAAATTATAGTGACCTTATTGTTTTGATAAATAGCGAGGAACCAGATGTAATACTTTTCAATGAAACATGGCTCAAGGCAGATTATGTCTTGAAAGTCAAATATTATGTTACGCATAGATTGGATAGAGATGATGGAAGAGGAGGTATTGCTATACTGATCAAGGAAGGCATGCCGCATATAAAATGTAATATGAACAATCAAAGGTTTCAAGCAATGGGACTTAAAATCAAAGACATATGACTATTGTCACAGCTTATAGTCCACCAGACATCTCACTTTCCATAAACAACAGCCATAACGCTTTTGGGGGGATACAAGCTTCATTTATTATTATGGGAGACATAAATGCCCAACACAGCCTATGGAGTTCACAGATTAACAACTACAATGGTAAACACTTAATGGAATACATTGAGGATAAGAATCTGATAATATTAAATGACGGCAAGAGCACAAGAATAACACCACCGAACCAAAACAGAAGTTGCCCAGACATAACAATAGTAACCCAAGATCTTGGGAACATTCTGCAACTGATCGGTCTCCCAACCAGAGCGGACTTTAGTGATCATTTGTCTACCATATGTGAAATCAGAAAACAGTTGCTAGATCAAAAGCACAGAAGGAAACCACTAAGAAAATGGAAAACTGATAAAGCTGACTAGGAAAAATATGAAACGGCGTTTTACAAGGGTGGGGAAGAAATTCATAGACAAAATAGATAACTCTGCTGGGGAAGCTATCCCAACAGTTTTAGGATCAAGTAAAAATAAATATACTCCAAAGCCAAACTGGTGGGTAAAGACTGCAACAAATTAACAGAGGAAAGACAAGAGGCTATGGGACATTACCTAAGAAGCATGACTTTGGACAATTTTCTGAAATATAAGCAACTTGCTGCCAGGACAAGGCGTATCCTAAAGATAAAAAAGAAAGATGGTTTTAGGAGGTTCACAGAAACATTAAGTAGATAATCATCAATTGCATATGTCTGGAGAGTTATTAAAAAATTCTCAAACAACATAGTAGATGAAGACAAACACACATACAAGATAGACTGGGTTAATGATCTATTAGACTCACTGGCTCCTTCGTTTGTCGGTAATAGACGGAAGGAAGGAGATTGCTTTGAAATAGGAGAAGAAGAGTTAGAGATTGCTCTTCAAACAAAAAAGAACACCACCCCAGGATGGGATGGAATTACCTATCCGGTGTTGTCAAGAATACCACCTTTTATGAGAGAATCACTGTTGCAATTCCTAAAACAGGAAGCAGATATTCCGCAGGATTGGAGAAATCAAATTGTGATTCTGATCAAAAAACCCTAAAGACTGCAAATCCTATAGACCACTTGTGATGACTTCCTGTTTGGGTAAAGTAATGGGAAACATTCTCAAGACGCGATTACAGAATTTCCTGGAAAGGAAAAACTACTTCAATGTATTCCAGAATGGGTTCAGGAAAGGCAAAGGAACCATTGATGACAATCTGGTCATTTTGACCAATGCCATATATACAGCGTTTTCCAAAAACGAAGTGGTAGTATGTTCCTTTATAGATATCCGTGCAGCCTATGATAATGTATCAATGGAAAGTCTGAGAGACAAGTTGAAAGAGGCCAAAGTCAATGAATGGATTTGTGATTATATTTACAATCTCTACTCAGATAGGAATAAATTTATATAAGGGAGTCGATTAATGGTAACTTACTAGGGCCTCAAAAAGCTAATATGGGGCTACCACAGGGGTCGCCCTTGAGCCCTTTGCTTTCTAACATATACATCAATCAGATTTAGGAAGTAGTCTCAGGGGGGGTAAGTACACTAAAGTATAGTATGCGGACGACATTGTTGTTTGCGACTGGAAAAAAAGTGGAAGAAGGAATTATGAAGGATAGATTGCGTGGCTCAAGAGAAACATAGACATATCGACGGAAAAAAAAACTAAAGCCATACTGCAGGCGTATTCTGTATCGTCATAGAGGGAAGAAATTTCTTTCTATAAGTATAGAGAGGAAATTTCTTTCTATTTCTTGAACTTATTCTGTACCATTTTTTCTATGCCCGGTCGGGTATGCTCGGCTATAGAGAAATGTGTATTATTTGATGTAAAAACATTGACCTGTAATCAGGGAATTTGGGATACTTTTTTGATTAGGTTGGTAACAAAGGCAATATTTGTTTACATCTTTATGTTAGGAGCTTCGCGAATGATTAAGTGACAGTTTGTATCTTTCATTGTGAATTGTAACATTTTCGATTTTCGATACGTTCAAGTGGTAAGTCTGTGTAATTATTATAAACCATATAAGGTTCGTTTCACCAGGGTTCATACTTGACCTTGAAACTTTAGAAAAAAGAGTTGTCGTAGATTAATTCATATAGGTTATTGTTGGCGTAATGGTTGATATTTTAGAATCACCTTCGGAGTTACGTGGACTGTAAGCGCAACGTATGAATATGTAGCAAAAAATAACCATACAAAAGACAATATGATAAAAGGCGCCTTACCTGTGGTTCTGGGGTTCTTCTAGTTCAAAGTTAATTGTTAATACCGGGATCCCGGGTTTTGTTTCGGTTGCACAACACTACCGGCTTTTATTTCGAAACCGGTAACCGGCGAGCTCGCGATATTCATCGACTTTCTTGTGCGCGAAAACGGATTAAAAATGTGTGTTCGTGTTTCGTGTTTGGCGAAAACAGAGAGAGTGTATTTCGCCGTCGCTTGGCTGTACGAATCGAGTGTTTTTTCGTACCTTT